GCTAAGGTTCATCTAGTTCAAGGGGGAGAAGAGTATCAGGCTTCCAGTGGCTACAGCTTGGAGAGCAGACTGTGGCCGTGAAGGTGGTAGTAGGACAACCAGGCAGGTGACTCCTGCAGATAGATGTCCAGGTGCACACGGATGATGGCTGGACCAGTGTGTTGGCTCTGGTGGTGGGAGAAATGGTTGGACGCAGATTTTCCTTCAAGTAGGCTTGCCTGGATGTTAGTATTTTGAGTGTCACAACGAAAAGGTAGGAGTCAGGGAAGGGATAACTATAGTTTTTGTACTTTGTGCAGCTGGAAGGATGGAAAATCCATGGACCTAGATGAGTTAGTATGGTAATAGGAGTAATTTTGCATAGAGACCTTCAGTGTTTTCTTCTTGGCCGTTATGAGCGTTAAGATCTTCACAGAGGGGTGAGCGGTAATATTAACTGGACAGCAAGACACAGATCTGGAGACATCTCCAAATGGTGTGTACACCAGGTGGAGGTGTACATCAAATAATGGGCACCATGTCATGGTGGCAGTGCTAATAACTTGCTGGAGAGAATGCTGTAACTGAGGAATGGAACTTGTGCTTAGGCCCCTGGTGAATTTAGTGCTTATCACAAACACAGTGGAGGGGAAGAAGTGGCCGTGGAAAGATTGCAGGAGAGAGGCTATTCAGGCAGGTGGCTAATGTGTCTGAGAGGGAAGTGGAACCATGGGATGGGTATGGAAGCACAGTCAGTAGAGACAAGCTCACAGTCAGTTGGTGCCTGGGACTTACCTCTCTGTGGACTCACCAGGATTTTGCTGGTGAGTCTTAAGTCTTGCGGTCAGGCTGGTAGATCAGTTCTGGAGCACACATGGTTAATTGAAGACTCACTGGGCCTAACATGCCAGGCCATTGTGGACTCGTTCTGTATGGGATTCCCCCTCATTTGGAATGGTGATATTCAATGCTGGAATGCATGCATTCGTACCTTATCTCAGATGTTTGCATCTCTATCCCCACCCCCACTATCCCCCATCCATCCCCATCTCCCAATAGCTAGAACACTGCCAACTAATCTGTTGTGTAGGTCCTCTTAGATAATTAACACTTAAGGTTGGGTGCTGCTAATTCTTTGCGAAAATCCAAATATTGTTAAGGGACCAGGGAGATGCCACTACCCCTTGATTTTTCATCACAACATTACATGTTTGTGTAAACAGAAAGCTTTCCATATATGTAGTACTTTTTGAAGTATTTGAGGCTAAAGATTTTGATCTCACATTTTTTACAGTTGTTTAAATCTCTCACTGTTTAAAGATGTTTGGAATGTTAGCCATCATAGTTGTACTTTTAAAATTTTGCAACAAGTCTGTGCGTTTGTAAGTTCAACACTTGTGACTTTTGCTTTAATTACAATGAAGTCAACCTTTTTACCTCCTTGACATTTTTATTCACTTTTATTTTCTTGAGTGGAGGTATAAGTGTGTGGTTTTATCAGTGGAACTACAGATGAATGATTCCAAAATTCAGGAGAATAAAGTTTCTTCAAACGAAGAACCTGGTGAACTCTTTGCCTCTATTTTCCAGATAGCATGAGACACATATGTCTAAGGTATTTAAATGAGGACAAACGGAACATTGTGTGTGTTTAAGATTTGGAGGGGAAATGTCCTCAATTTCAAATGTAGTTACAAATTCGAATGCATCCATATTTTATACTGTTCTGTTTTAAATTCACGATGGCAGGATTGTTAGATTTTATGTTTATTCTGAATGAAAAGCTTTGTTTGTTTTTAAGTTTTCACTTGAATATTAATAAATCCACCCATGTTATATATATATAAAAAAAAGCGAAGTTCAGTGGAGCATGGGAGACTCGTTGGGGTCAGCAAGTAGAGGGAGGGTCATATGTGTTCAAGATCCAAGTGGTTCTGGTGGCCTGAGGTTGAAGCCAGGAGCAGAGTGAAGCAGGGAGGCCTTCACAGTAGGAGTTGGACCTGCCTTTGGAGTGGATACTGTCAGGGCTCAGGATACTGTCGAGTGGACCTGCTTGCGTGTGCTAAGTAAGCCCTCTCTGGGTGCCATGCTCACAGTAACATAGAGAAATCAGGGACATGCTATGGTGTGGAAAAGGTGGGAGAGGAGGCAGTGGGAGTGCAGGGTAGGAGAAAATGTGGGCATGTATAGGACCCTGTATGGGGCATCCAAGGCTGAAGGTAAGCCCACATGGTTGTGTGTGAGAGGCATGATCTGGCAGACTCTAGGACCCTGCCTGACCCAAGGGTGCACTTGTGGCTCTGCAGGCCAGACCGAAGGCTTAGATGCCATTTTTTTGGCCACCTGCCTATTATCAACTGAGAGAGTGTTCATTGGGACCATGAAAAGTTGTCAATGGCTCCTCAGGAGAAGTGGGAAAGTAGGGGATCGATACGTGGGATTTTAGGAGAAAGACTACTCATGGAATGAACTGTTGTCGCATCATGTCAGAGCTCTGTGACCTTGGAGGATGTGGCCATTGACTTCTTCCAGGAGGAGTGGGGGCTCCTTGATGAGGCTCAGAGGGTGCTGTACAGCGATGTGATGCTGGAGAATGTTGTGATTATAGCCTCGTTGGGTAAGATCTTCACCCCTATCCCAGTGTGCTGGACCATGGGTATTGCTAACGCGTCACCTCTCTTGGCATATGTGCTGTGGGTGCCAGTGGTGAACTGCATACTGCCCTGAACAATTACTCCCTGAGAAGCCCTAACACCTGATTGGCCAGAACATGAAGTGAAGAGTCCAGAAGCCAGGAATCTTACAGTCGTCAGCCTATTGGCTCCCTCCTTGCTTGTCCTCTGTCTCTCTGGGTGATAGTGGGCGATACTTTTTCTAGATGACTATCCGCTCTGCCTGACAGTGCCAACAATTGCAGATGAAGGTTGTTCATATCTTTAAATTCTCCTTCAACACTAGTGACTTAATTTCCAGCTGAATTGTTTTGGGCCTGGACACAACCAGCCATCTTTATCATGCATATGTCATCAGATGACAAGATGCTGATGAAAACTGGCAGTAGAAGAATGTGTTAGATGATCATGTGAGGTTTACCTTAATTTTACCCCAGATATTTGGTCTTTTTATTCTGTTCCTGAGAAGGCTTCTCTAAGGACAAAACAAACAGACTTGGAATGTGTCTTTGATTCAGACTGCAGACCACACCTAGTCCACTGATTATGGTGACTCTGAGGTAGGAGTTGGTTAAGCCAGAAAGACCCACCACATACTACCTCGTGGTTACCTCATGATATCCTCTGTCCGCAATTAATTGTGAACTAGCTGGAGGTGTACGTTGCAGACCATCGTTTTTGTAGTCGACAACTTAGGCAGCTTGTCTGACCTCCCAGTAGCTTGCCCTGTCTCTGCTGTCTGCCCTTTCTTGCTCTTGAGTGTTTTTCCCTCCCCTAAGCTGATAGCTGTCCACCCTGTAGCCCAGGCTCAGACTTTTGAGACAGCCAATCTCGTCACCTCAATTTAAAAATCATTCAAGAGCCATCAATATATTTTTACAAACAAATGAAATCACCATTATCTGAATACTATCCTTTAACAATTTTCAGCTGTACTTCAGAGCCACATTTATCTACCGAAAGAGCCGCATATGGCTTGTGAGCCAGTTTGCCGACCCCTGGGCTCTAGCCCATCAATTTCCAAAGGGGGCAGTCCCACCCCCTAGGGGATCCTGGACTGATCCAGGGGGGCTGCAGAAGCAAGGACCCTAACACTTTCTATTGGCGTGTGGGCTGTAAGGCAGGAGTTTTTAATTGTCAAGAAGACAGGGTTTTTTTTGTTTTGGAAAAGGGGGTGACAGACTAAATAAGTTAGAGAGCTGTGCTCTAGCTAGCTGCTTCCCCTTCCCTCTCTTCCTCACCCACCTCTGGTAACCATCAAAGTCCGTTTCTTGTGCTGTGAAGACCTTTATCTTGATTTCTTTTTCTTTTCTAACAGTGGTCCCATATAGTATTTATCCTTTTGTGATTGGCTAGCTTCAGTTAGCTTAATGTCTTCCACATCCATTTATGTCAGGAGGTATTTTATTTCACAGTTTCATCATTGTTCTTTAGCGATGCATATTGTATGTACCCAAACTTACCCATTCTTCCACTGATGGGCCTCTGGACTGTGCCCATCTTGCTAGTATGACTAGCGCTTTGGTGACCATCCAGGGACTCTTTCCATTTCGTGTCTGACACACACCTCTGAGGGGATTCTCCTTTCCACTGATGCCAACGTGCATGAAGGCCCTTTATCTTTTCAAATTGTTGGCATGGAGGGGAGGAGAAAGAGGAGGTGTCTTCTGAGCAGAGTGTTTCTGTTGAGAAGTATCACAAGTCAGGTCTCCACAGGCAGATCTGTCTACCCAGGAGACTCACGCCTGTGAGGAGTGTGTCCCTGCCTGGAAAACATGACGGCAGAGCACGAAGCAACAAACCTCAGGCAGAAAGCATACTTAGGTGGGCCTTGTGTGAGGACTTATTTGCTTAGTGCAAACTTACTTAAGGGCCAGCAGCACCTCACTGGAGAGAAACCCTTCAGTCAGGATGAAGACGGGACACGATTTGGGAAGAGCTGTAGATTGCAAGTGTGCTGGCAGGGTTTCATACACAAAGAGGATGGGAAGGTATCCTCAGTCTCCTCGGGTCTTTTCCAACAGCAGATCAACCCCAATGGTGAGAAGCCACCAAGACACCTTGTGTGTAGGGAAGTCTTACAAGGTGGAAAGAGTCAGTACAAGTGGGAAGAATTTAGGAAAGATTTTAATCACAGACAGACACTTGTTCACCACTGAGGGATCTGTCCTGGAGAGGGGCTTTGTGAAAGTCACAACGATGGGAAAGTCAACTGCAAGTCCAGGCTTGTTCAGGCATTCATACTGGGGTAAAACCGTATGAGTGTAGTGAATGTGGACTTTTTTTAGCTTATTCTCTAGCCTTACTAGACGCCAGAGAATTCACACTGGCATGAGACCTTATGGGTGCAGTGCATGTGGAAAATTCTTTGCTCACAACTCTGTTCTCATGAAACACAGGAATTCACACTGGAGAAAGGCCGTATGAGTGCAGTGAATGTGGGAAATCTTTTATTTGAGGTTCTGGCCTCATTCAACACCAGAGAGGTCATACAGGACAGGAGCAAGGTCTTCTGAGTGTGCTGAATGTGGGCAGTGCTTTAGCCAAAGCTCCACGCTCATTCAACACCGGAGAGTTCACACTGGAGAAAGGCCTTATGAATGTGGTAAATGTGGCAAACCCTTTAGCCGTAGCTCCACTCTGATTCAACACCGAAGATCTCATACTGGAGAAAGACCTTATAAGTGTACTGAATGTGAGAAATCCTTTCGCCAAAGATCTGGGCTCATTCAGCATCAAAGAGGTCATATTGGAGCAACACCTTACGAGTGTGAAGAGTGTGGGAAATTCTTTAGTCAAAGCTCTGGACTCATTCAACACCAGAGTCCACACTGGAGAAAGGCCTTATGAATGCAGTGAATGTGGAAAATTCCTTAGCAGTCACTCTCATCTTAATGTGCACAAGAGACTTCACACAGGAGAAAACCCTTATGAGTGTAGTGTATGTGGGAAGTCTTTCAACCAAAGCGCTACCCTTATTCAACATCACACAGAGTTCACAGGAGCAAGACCTTATGAGTGTGTCCTATGTGGGAAGTCTTTTTGTCAAAGTGCCAGCCTTGTTCAACAATGAAATCTTCACAGCAGAGAAAGACCTCATGAGAGTAGCAAATGTGAAAGCCTTCATCCCAAGAGCTAGCATCATTCATATAAGAAAAATCGCAAGCTTAAAAGGTCTCTCACATGCAGGGAATGTACTTATTCTTTGGTCAGTAAAATGGCCCTTGAGAGACCTTGTGAGGGAGCCATCAGCTTGATGAACCTCACACTTCTAAACCAGAATTGTGATTCCCTTAGTTCCAGGCTTGTGCAAAGCATTGACAAACTTCATTGCACTTTGTGCACATCCCAGGATTCATCACTGCCAGCGTCTATAGCAGAAGCCGTGCCAACGCTATCGTCTTGCAGGCTCTCTTCTCTCTCAGTAACTCCAGCATGCTCAGACGGGCTCGTGATTCCTCCCTCCTGTGGAGAGAAAATGATGAGTAACCCTAGCAGCGGTTCTCAACCTGTCGTCTGATGGAGGGTCGCTGGATTCCCTCAAGTCGCCCGATTTATAACAGTAGCAATATGACAGTGATGTAGCAACAAAAATAATTTTATGGTTGGGGGTCACCACACACGAACTGTATCAAAGGGTCGTGGCTTTAGGAGGTTGAGAACCACTGCCTTAATGGGACTTCATTCCCATCACTGTTTGGTCAGGGTGCAGAGACAAGCAAAGCCAACCAAACGAATCATCACTGCTTCCATTCCGATTCATGCTGACCCTTGTTTAGAAAGTAGAATTGCTCCACGGGTTGTTTTTTTTTACTGTAATCTTTTTAGAAACAATAGGTGTTTTTTTCCCACTGGATTGCTTAGTAATCAAACACAGTTTACACTACCCAGGAACTTTGAAACCCAGTAATATATATTTTATTTTGCAATGATGCACCTTCATATCTTTCCACAACTGTTGTTTTTGTATTTAATCTGTCCCTTTTTAAAAGTAAAACTGCACATATTATGTAAGTATGTTTTAAAGCTGTACACCGAAGGGAACCTTTTACATCATGTTGCCTTAATTTTCACCAGATTTAAAAATAGAGGGGTTGAGTCCCTATGTACTCAAATGTAGGTGAATGCCATATACATTCTTTTTTTTCATCTTCTAAATTACTTATTTTCATTAACATAGATGTTTCCATAAGCCAAGAAACTATATTTGACATTTTTAATGCTTAACATGATTTTAATTTTTTTCAATTAAAAAAAAAATGATCAAGAGCTAGTTGCAATTTTCAGCATAAAACATCCACGACTAGTTTTATTCACAATACATTCATCTCTAAGTACCCTTAATGCTCCCAGTCTACTAACGAGACAGCTTCATTCTTTAAGAAGTTCTCATTTTCCCATGGATTTTCAACCATGAGAGACAAATGGGCACCAAGGAAGGGAACATCTCACACGATTACATTTTTATTAAAGACTTTTGACAAGAAGGCTTCATAAAAATGAAATTCCATTAGCTATACAATAGACAGCTATTTCTAAGTAGGAGCCATATGGCATAGTACAGCAACCATTTTAATGTGTAAGGTAATTCTGAATTCTGACCATAAATATACTTGGCTAATCTGTGAAACTTCTTTGCAGTAAACTGACAGGCATTTCAGGGGCTTGTAAGACGGTAGAAAGGCCACCAGGAGGCCATGAGGGTGTCTCGCGTTGCTAGGTAAACGGGCAGTGAGCTGCCCTTCGCTGGACAGCCAGAAAGGAACAGCAGGCTAGAACAAAACAGCATGTGGGGTGGACTTCCTCCGTCAGAGTGGCCATCACTCAAGGACAATGCCTTTTACATAAACGAAAGGACTGGAGATGATCTTCAGAAAGCAATGAAATAAGAAGGTCATTTTCACATATTTCTCCTTGAGGTCCTGAATTGCTCTTCAGAGAAGCTGAACCCAAAATGGGTCGAGGTCGATGACATGATATATTAAATGACACTCCCCTCCTCAGATAACACGGCTTAAAGTATAAACACAAAATGGCGCTTCTCTGGTATCAGAAGGTTCTTTGGCACCACCCGGACTCAGGTGCTAGCAAGAGTTGGATGCAAAGGTTTAACTCGTGCTAATCTGCTAATCGGGACAAGCCCAGGTGGAGCCTCTGACTTGGAGACCTTGCAAGGACTCCTGGTGCCCGACTACTGTTGCTGCTGCACTTACTTCTGGATCATCACTGTCGGGCCTCAAACTGAATAACGGACTGGTTTCTTATGCCGCACAGGCCGCATCTTAGAGGCCTTTCAAAGCTGAAATGTTCTAATTCCCAAGTTCGCCCAAGCAGCAATCGCCATATACATTTTCAAAGTATAAACAAAGATCCACATTAAAAGCCTGATAGAAATTTTATGTTGAAAAAAAAAATTTTTTTTATGTTGAATTGGATTTTAGGTTGACCTTTCTTGAAGTCCTTTCATGTTTATGAAGCCTGTATTGATATTCCAAGATGATTTATTTCTCATGGGCACTTGTTTTGCAGCAAAGCCCCTCTAATATTTTAGAGAATGGGTATTATTTCTATTGGAGATATTAAATACCTCATACCAAACATGGTGCAGAATTCTCCTCTGCACTCATACTAGCCTGCACCACGTGAAATGATCAAACCTGGCTCCAGCAGTGCTTTAAACTCCACTGCCCTTCATTTGATCTTTGCCATCCCTGTAATGTTTTTATTGGCATTGACTAGTGTCGAAAGGAAAATCATTTAATTAGTCAATTAGGGTAACAGGGTGTGCTGAGCAACACGCTCTTTCAAAACAGGAAGCACCCAAGCAGAGCGCTCTAAGTGGCACAGGTTAGGGTACTTGGCTGAACATGGTGAAATTTCACCAGATAGCCTTATCTTTCCCCCAGAGCAGGTTTGAACTGTTGACATTGTGGGTAGCAGTGAAACACCTGGCAGTGCCACCGCGATACAGTGTATGAAATAGATGCGATTTACATGTGTGAACACCTGTAATAAATAGTACTAGCATTTGTTTGTTTGCTACATAACTTGATATCGAAGTAACCCCCTACGCAAGCTGCTCTCTCAATTAGTCTCTGGAGCCTTGAGGCTTGCAAACTTGGACTGTAATTGGCACCTGTGGGTTCCATGCTTGGCACTCTAGTGGTGGCCGAGAGGAGCTTGGCTGGAATCAGATAGCCTCAAGGAGCGGTAGGGCAGTCACAGCCAACTGGCTTCCAGCTGGCACTGCCCAGGCAGGCCACACACCAGTGGTGCCGAGGATCTACAGCGACCACAGCTTGGGCTGTGCTCCAACCACTGCTGTCCTAACACTGGGCTCACTGTCTCCTGCCAGTCTCACCTGGCACCCTTCCAAGCAAGCCCCTCCTCCTGGGCCCACGGACATGTATGCAGTCAGACACTGCCTAAACTAGCATTGTGCAGCATATGCGTGTATGGTAAACAATGCTTTCACCTGGTCAAGAAGCCCTAATGTCACCAGGTCTGTGGCTTAAATCCACCAGTTGCTCCACAGGACAAAGCCAAGACTCTCTTCCTATAGGATTTACCGCCTTGGAAACCCTAGGGGACAGTTTACTCTGCCCTGTACAATTACCAGGAGTCAGAATCAGTGGTCCAAGGAGCACAGTGCTAACAATAAAGGTCAGCGGTTCAAACCCATCAGCTGCTCCAAAGGAGGACGTTTTTATCCTCCTAAATCCACTGTTACTCCCAAACACCAAAACCCCATGGGGATGACTAAGGTTTTCCTTAATAGTTTCTGGACACAAAAGTTTTGTTACACTTAAGGAAATATGCTGGCTTTTTTTTTTTTTAAACCTTTTCATCAATCCTATCAATGAGGGGGCATCAAAGAGTTTGTGGGAAAACTGGAATGAAAGATAATAGAACTTTTCCGTGGACTCGCTAGTCTGCAGACGGCTCCCAGTGCTGTCCAGCCAATTGTAACAGAGCCCCTGCCCGCCAGAGTAGAACTGCCAGGTAGGGATTCTGCAGCTACCGAGCTGCCTGCGGGAGGTGTAGAAACTGCATTATCCCAGATGCCCGCATGCGCAGCTCACGGAGGTGGGACTTCAGGCCTCTCCCTCCCTTAAACCCTTGCATTGGAGTGGAATCCCAAAGAAATCCCCTGAAAGGTTTCCAAGGCTTTTAAGTGTTTACGGAAGGAGGCTGCCACATCTGTCTCCTATGGAGTGGCTAATAGGTTTGACCCGCTGACCGGTTAGCAGCTGAGCGCTGTAACCACGGTGCCACCCAGTCTCCTGTGTCTTCCGTAAACGGCTGGTTGAAGGTGTAGTACTTTGCCCTCACGGGTCAGAGGTCGGAACGTTACTGGGGAACTGAGAAGCGGAGACTCTGTCACCTCTGTTCACCGGTGACAGATTTAAGGAAATACTCCCTCGGACTTAGGGCTGAAACACTAGTGTGAGAGGAAGCTGACTGCTAGCCTAAGGTGATGGAATGAATGGTCATGGATTTTTGGGTTCGGATCTCCTGCTTCGAGGGTGCTCAGTGTAAGGTGGTCCCCGGACTACCATGTGTTTACTATTTTGATGCGCTTTGCTTTCTTAAGGCATGCTTCAGGCCTCCAGGTGTGGTTCTACCTTTGTGAGTAACTATTATCGAAAGTTCTCCCTATCACCACCCCCATTGTTCGTCTGACTAGTGTCCAGTCCCTTACGCATTTCGTCTGTGCAAGTCAACAAAGAAAATAATAAAAAATTTGTATAAGATAAATCTGAAAGCCCTTGCAGATCCATGTTCTCTGTCTTAGCTGCCTGTATGTCACTCGCGGCCCACTGCTGGTGAGTTTGAACTACTTACTTAGTAGTTGAATTTCATAACCCCCTAGGCCACCATTAAAGACCTGCAGCCTTGTAAACCCTGTATAGGCTCTCTATAAGTGGCAATCGACTGGATAGCTGTGGGCTTTGGACGGAGCACGTGCCCCCAAACCTTCCTGTGATTTGTGCAGACTGCACTCCACAAAGTTTGGGTTTGGGCTCTTTAAGAGTACCGCAGCCCCGTCGGTCCTCTGCCTACAGTCCCTTTGACCAGGCTCCCAGGGGTCCTTTTCCCTGGAGCTGTGGGCTTGGGTACCTCCTAGAGTTCGAAGTCGCGATGAGAACTACATTCCCCAGAAACCTGTGCGTCGCCTGGCGGCCCTGAGCCAATGAGAGAGGCGTTTCTGTGCCCGGGAGGACGCCGGCGGGACTTCCGGCATCTTCCTCGCGGCGGACATGTTGGCCGTGTTTGCCTTGCTTTGCCGGCGCTCTCTCTCTCTGGTGACGGCAGCGAGTAGGTGAGCGAGCGAGTGTTGCTTCCCTTGCTCAAAGGTGGTCTCGAGGCTCGGCGGGTGGCAGGGCCTGAAATGACCTCGCCCCGCGTCTCACGGTGGCGGCGTCCGCCTCGGGGCACCCGGCGTTCTCACCCCAGCTCCCGGGTCCTCACGTCCCGATTAAGGGGTACCTGCTCGGATCTCTGCGATCCAGGCTCCCGGTGCCCGGTCATTGCGGAGAAGCGTGTGGCGAGGAGTGTGGTCCAGGCTGACGGGCCAGCAAGTGCCAAGTGTTGGCGTTGCGACGGAGCCGGGAGCCTTCAGGTCTGCAGGGAGCGGACATCGTGAGGGCTCCTCACGTTGGCACGACAGGTGGAGGTGGAGTCGTGGAAGGACATCCCCTGATCGGGGATGGTGAAAGGATCGCAAACCCGGTTCCGGGGAGAACAGACCGCGGTGGGTGGAGGCAGAGACGGGTGGAGAGGGTGCATGTGGTGCTTAGGGCTGAGCTTTGACGGGAGATGGCAGCCAACGCTGGGTTGTTTAAAAAGATGAACCAAGAGGGTTTCCTGTTGCATCAGACGTAGCTGTGAATGACAGTAGGAGGTCCGCCTGGTCTGGGTCTTTTTACTGCTGGGTCTGTTTTCCCCGAATATCTGGAAGAACTGGCACATGTTGTTTAAAAATTCCTTCGGGGCCCGGGCTTTTTTTGGGCACTGGACATGCCACGCTGGACCTGGAGATCTGCTTGAGGGGAAAGAATCTTAAGGATTTTATTTCTGTATTTGGTTCCTGTGATGGTGAGAATGGGAAGGGCTGGGGCTGGAGGGCAGAAAGAAAAGGTGAATATTCCCGAGACCCCCACCAGGACACCCTCCTCCCTCCAGGGACTAAATAGCACGTAGGCTGGATGGGAAAACGGACCAGTGGCATCTGGCAGATATGCACGCTCCCTGCCACTGAGTTGATTCCAACGCGTAGTGACCCTGTGGGGCAGGGTAGAACTGCCCCTGCAGGCTTCAGGGACTAACTCCATGGCAGTGGAAAGCCTTATCTTTCTCCTTAGAAGTGGTTAGTAGTTTGGTACTGCTGAGATTGCAGTTAGCAGCTCAGCGCCATCAGGTGGTCAATTTAAAAATTTCAATGTGTAACAAGTTAAACTTATATAAACACTAATTGGATGACACAGTAATTTGCTACTAAGTATTTTGGTTACAATGTAAAGCCTTGTATATGGCATTTTCCTTAAAGACGTTATTAATAAATTATTAATTACGTGGGAGTTTACATTTCAGATAATCAGTTTTGTATTCAACAGTTCAAACTACTTATAAACCACCCCCTCATTTGCAGACCCAGCTGACCTCAACTTTGAGTTCTTTCCTCTTGTCAATTACTGCTTTCCCTTCCCCCAAGTTAATACTATTTACCAACCCTTTAGTCATTATACCACCGTCCCTCCTTGGTAACCTTTAAAGTCTCTTCCTTTGGTATGAAAGTCTTGGTCATGGCTTGTTTATTTTCTTTATCAGTAATCTCATTCATAGTCTTTTTGTGACTGAATAAGCCTTAAAAAATTTAAGACAATAAAACACACCCAAATTAAAACAACAACAAAAACCCATCACCAAGAACATTTGCAAAAGTGTTAAACGTGGACAGTAATAGCTCACTTCACAGCACTTAACATACACGGATGCATCTGATGTAAACTAGAACCCTATGGCATAGGTACCTTTCTACTTACAGATGAGGACATTGAGGCATAGGTCATTGTCCAAGATCACACAACTGGTAGGGGGCAGCACTGAAGTCTGAGTCTTTGAGGCGAGATAAGACAACCTAAAATATGCCTCTAAAGACAGGGCAGTAGTTATAGGATCCTTCACCATGGTCACCTACCACCCTCAGCCTCCCTCTTCCTGCCCCGTTCTCATGGCAGCAGAAGCACTTAAGAATCCTTCAGTTTCTTAGGTCTTCACCTGATCCAGTCCCTAGCTTGGTTATCTGGTAAGGGGAATGGTGGTATCCTGGGGATCCCGATCCTTCTCCTTGCCATTACACCTGGAGAACCTGCAGTTACCAAAAGCCCTGCTTCCTGAAGGGAGCCCGGGGATTTAATGAAAGGGTTTCATCTCTGGCCAGCATTAGATGAGGTATGGGCCAGTGTCCCATGTGTGTGCAAATGCTTCAGGTGAAGCTGAGCTAGGGTGTCAGCTCAGCCACCTTTATGTCAAGTGGAGTCAGCGAGCAGGGGACAGCAGTCATTCTGCATGGTAGTTTGAGGAGCTGGGGTGGCATTCAGAGAGTACTTTGGGAACCGAGGGAAGTTTGGCTCACAGTAGGAAGCGGTCTACCTGTGGGCTTAATCGTCCTTCTCTGGCTTCACAGTGGAGGGAAGACTGATGGCAGAGAGGAGGGGCTGCCAATGAGAAAGCTGCTGCTACAGCCCAGGTGAGTGCTGCGGGTGCCTGTGCCAGGGTGGCGGCTGTGGTGGTGGGATATCGGGCTGAGAGAAGGGCAGGAATTTGGTGTGAGCCTTGCACAGCTGAGGTTAGACAATTTGGGAGAGTCCATCGTTTTTGGTCTTAATGTGTAACGGTGGCAGAGTCCGTTGAGATGGGAAAGTTGGAGGAGTCATTTTCGGAGGCAGCATCAAGGAGTTAAGGCTCGGTCTTGTTGGGTCTGCAATGCTCCAAAGACAATGCAGGGGAGCTGTCGGTGCACAGCGGGCTATCAAGTCTGGCATCCAGAGGAGAAATTCAGACCAGAGACATGCACAGGCTGTAGCCAAGTGTACATTGGGGTGGAGCCAGGAGCAGAGAAATTGAAAGTAGGGTTCAATTTCAGTTTGGCTACCCGTGTCAGGGGGCACCATTGAGCAGGGCTAGATTCCATCCTGGTTGCTTTAGCTACATATTCTTTTTGTTTGCTTGTTTTTTGTTTATTTCACTTTATTCCCCCCATTTTATTAGCACGTAATCCACATCATACAATTCAATCATTCAATCATTTCAAGAATTGTAAAATCATTACCACAATTGATTTCAGAGCATTTTTTTCCTCCCATGACTAAATCACCTTTAAATAGAGCTGTGTAATCACATTCAGTCCAAGTGCTCCCTCCCCCTCCTGTCTTCGCTGTTTATTCCCCAAATCCTCTCACCCTCCCTGTCTCCACCCCCCCAAACCTACACTCCCTACAAATCCTTGCATCAGCTACTGTCTGTGCTTCATAAACTGTCAAACCCAACAAACAATAAAGGACAAAAATGAAGTGGTAAGGACAAAACAATAGCAATACAAAGATAATAGCACAATAGCTACGTGCTCTTTATATGCTGTGTGCAGAGTAGCATGTGAGAAGGCCAGGGAGGTTCCTGTGATGTTTGCATGTCCCTAGTTGTAAGGGGCATGTGACTTAGTGACCTGCACGGGAAGAAGAGTGTGAACTGATGAGCCCCGGGTTCTGATACTGAGGGCTTCAGACTTGGTTGCTGTGCAAAGCATATGTGGCTCGAGCCGTGATGAAGGCCTGCTGCAAATTCTGAAGATTTCCAGCTTCTTTGCTTCCGAGAGCCACGCGGAGATGGACCGCTGATGTGAGGGCTGTCTGCCCACTTGCTGGTTGTTTGTGGCCAGACAAAATGCTCAGGATGATGTGAGGAAGGAGGAGATGAGATACCAGTCACCCCAGAGCCTAGTGTCTCGAGGTGGGCCTCTAGGGAGGAAAGTGAGCCAGGGGTAGGGCATGTGGGGATTCTGGAAAGAGAAGAATGCATTTGTGCTCAGTTGTTCACTTTGTGGCAGGGCCAGGTGACCTTGAAGGACGTATTTTTGTACTCCCAAGAGAAAGCGGTTCCTTGAGGAGGCTCAATATCTACTGAATGTGGATGTGATGCCCGAGAACTTTGCACTCGTGGCCTCCCTTGGTAAGATCCTCACAGACCTCAGCTTCCTGGGGTGGGCGTTGTCCCTCTTCCTTTCCCTGTGAGCCTGTGACCTGTTCTTACAAGACCATCACCGTGGGGAGAAGGGGAGGGTCCCCCACAAATCATCACAGGTCCGGTAGGCGCAATTGTACAGCGATAATAAGATTATAGTAAAGTCAGAGAGCATGAGGTGAAAGAGTCAAGTAATGGAGTCAGACACAACTCATGGTAGCACGCTCACCTCAGCCCCGCTTGATGGTCCACGTGGGGGGAGCCCAGCCAGGAGAGAGGCTCAGGGCGAGAGCTCCTGAGAGCTTTCTTTATTGCTCACCAAGCGTTATATATCCCTTTAGGGGGACATCATTACAGAATCACATGTCACAGGAAGGGGCAGTACAATAGGCATACACATCGTAGGAAGGGGCATAAGCTTAAAAGGAAGGGGATGAGCTAGGGGTGTGCCCATAGGAATGGGAAGGTCTAGGGGTATACATGTGACAAGATGGGCGGACCCTAGATTCATGATGGTGGCCTAACCTTGGTCATCTTTGGGCGGGTTTGACCTCTGGTGTCTCCTATAAGGAAACAGACAATTACTATCCTTATCAGAAGGGAGTGGGCCCTACTTGTGGGATAAACAGTGGTGTCTACTTGCTCTAGATGGCTACTCCTGATGACCTCCAAGTGTATAGTCATTCTCAAGCAGCTGTCTGGCATATATTTGGGGGAAGACAGCTTGAGAGAAATCCTGTTTCCCACAAATCACCACTGCTACTTTGCTCAGCTCCCTCAGAGACCTCTAGGCCAGGCTCAGCTGTGCCTCGCCTCCAATTGTCCTCAGACTGTTCTGAGCCTTGTTGAGAAAGAGTCAGGAGTCCTGCCATCATCCAACAGATTATGCTCTACTTGACCTTTACCTGGCTGTTTGTGAGTCTGTCCATTTCCAAGGCATTTCTGTGCCCCGGATTCTGCCCGCTTTCTGTAGTCGACATCTCCTTAGTCCTGCCCATGCTGTGAATTTGTCAGTCATTGCTTGTGAAACCTACTTGGATTCCTGCTGGACACTGTAACATTCAGTTTTCTCTCTCACGAGTAGATTACTTTGGACTAGTACCTCCTGTTGTCCTGGGTGTAAAGCAGAACTGAGGGACAGGGAGGAAGATGGACATAACTGGCGGGACAAGGGAGAACAGAAGTAGAGCGAGCTTTAGTAGGGGTTAGGGGAGCTCCCAGACGAGGTTCCGTGACCTAGGCCAACAGGTCAGGGAAGGGTTTTTAAAGGAGTGGTGAGGAATGTGTGGCAATTAGCATATGGGGTCTGGAAACTGGGAGAGTTGCTTGTCCACTCCAGGAGGCTTTCTTTGAACCTGGAACATCAGGCTTCACTGGCGCCGACTACTGCTGACCTCTGGGACGTGCAGGGAAGCAAGCATGTGCAGGGCCCGAACCTGCTTCAGCTTAGTCCAAACGGGGGCTGCCTAGTTCCGACCCGACCCAACATTTCAAACTTCTTAAGACAGAAAACGTCGCCCCATTTCCAATATTAACTACTTCCTGCTGAGATAGGTCGAAGAAGGGGATTAAGAGTTGGAAGTTTGGGGGCCTAGCCGGTCGGCAGCAGACTGTAAGGGTGAAGAAGCTGATTGAAGGTCAGGTTGGAGATGTCTTTTATCCATTCCTGCAAGAATCTAAAGACACAAAGAGCTAAAAGCAAAGGTACACAGATTATTATCAGAGACCGGATGAGGGGCCTAACCTGGGCCATGGCAGGAATTTTGAAACCATGAGAAGCTGGTGGTGCTTCACTGACGTTTCCTGATTTGATTGGCCGTGGTGCGGAGCACCGTAGCACTTTAACTATACCC